TGGCGCCCTGCATTCTGAAGAGCCTGCTGGCTCTGGGGTCCACCGGGGCTGAGGCAGTCTTGGGCCTGTTGTGGGCAATGGGTGGGAACAAGTGCCGTATATCTCCAGTGGCTTTCGTGTGTGTCACCCTGCAAGCCTCCACCATAATCTTGGGAGCAGGATGCCTTTTTCTGTCTTCCAGACACTCAGGCTGAGAAGCGCAGGCACAGGTCTCTGCCGACCCTCGCGTTCTTCACGGTGCAGCCCGGCCAGAGCTGCCTGGCCCAGCCGGCAGCCGGCATGTGAGGCCACAGGGAGCCTGCTTTCTCAAACTGAGCAGCCTTGGCAGTCTGGAGGGCCCGGGGACAGCGGCATTGCTGCTTCTCAGGACAGACTCTGCGCAGCTGAGCTTCGGCCAGGCTAGCCCATGGTGAAGAACCAAAGCCAACCTTTGTGACTTGACTTGCAGGAAGCAGTTGGGGAAGAACCTACATTGCACTGTCGAGGCGTATGCTGAGCTGTGAGGATGACGATAACTACCTCCTCACTCATTTCTGCAATGTGGACCCCCTGGATGGTGCACTGAGAGGGTTTAGCATCCTCCAAACCGCCCAGAGAGGGGCTCGGAGGGCTTGGATGAAGGCAGCCTGTGGTGTCAAGGATGGCAAGGCGGATCTTGGAGGCAGAGGCCCAGATGCTGGGAGGGGCAGCTGAAGTTGGCAAGACAGGGAGTGGTGCCCTGGTGCATTAGGCAATGGGGAGGGGCTCTGGGATGGGCATTTGGGAGGTACCATGGAACGGAGTGAGGGAGAGCCTGTCAGGTGGCTCTGAGGTCCTCTCTGGCTGCTCCATTTAGTGTCCTTGGGGTCTGGTGACAGCCACCTGACCTTTCTCTGCCGCTTTTTCCTTATATGTGAATTGAAAATTACAGGAAAACAATAAGATAATTAAACAGGAGGAGGGGAAGAAACAGACAATTCTCCTCTTGCTGTCAAGACAAAGACACTGGAAGTAAGGAGTAGACCATCAGACCGTCAGGGGGATGCTGCAGTGCTGAAGAACATAAGTAGGCTCCCAGCAAATAGCCAACTTCTGAAAAATGGGTTATCCTTGTTAGCAATGTGGTATATTTTTAAAAAAAATTTATCAATAAATAGTAATTTTTTTTATTTTGAGAGTCTCACTTTGGCGCCCAGACTGGAGTACAGTGGCACAATCACAGCTCACTGCAACCTCTGCCTCCCAGGCCCAAGCTTTTTTTTTTTTTTTTGTAGAGACAGGGTTTTACCATGTTGCCCAGGCTGGTCTCCAACTCTATAGCTTAAGCAATCCGCCCGCCTTGGCCTCCCAAAGTGCTGGAATTACAGGCACGAGCCACTGTGCCCAGAGGATACATAATAATTGTATATATTTATCAGGTACATGTGATATTTTGATACATGCATACAATGTGCAATGACTAAATCAGGGTATTTAGGATATCTACCGCTTTGAACATTTATCGTTTCTTTATGTTAGAAACTTTTCAAATCTTTTATTCTAACCATTCCAAAATATATATTATTGTTAATTATAGTCACCCTACTGTGCTATCAAACACCAGGACTTATTCCTTCTATTTAATTGTATGTTTGTACCCATTAACCAACCTCTCTTTCTTTCCTCCTCCTCCTCACCGCTCACCCTTCCCAGCCTCTGGTAACTATCATTCTACTCTCTACCTCCACGTGATCAAATGTTTTAGCTCCACATATGAGAACATATAATATTTTTCCTTCTGTGCCTCGAGTATTTCATGTAACATAATGATCATCTACGTTGCTACAAATAACAAGATTTCATTCTTTTCAGTGGCTTCATAGTATTGCATTGTGTATATATACCACATTTTCTTTACTCATTCAACTGTTGATGAACACTTGGGTGATCCCATATCTTGGCTATTGTGAATAGTGCTGCAATAAACATGGGAATGCAGCTATCCCTTTGATATACTGATTTCCTTTATTTTGGATAAATACCCAGTAGTGAGATTATAGTAGTGAGATTGCTGGATCATATGGTAGTCCTATTTTGAGTCTTTTGAGAAATCTCCATACTGTTTTCCATAGTGGCTGTACTAATTTACATTCCTACCAACAGTGTATAAGAGTTTCCTTTTCCGGCCGGATGCGGTGGCTCATGCCTGTAATCCCAGCACTTTGGGAGGCTGAGGTGGGTGGATCACGAGGTCAGGAGATTGAGACCATCCTGGCCAACATGGTGAAACCCCGTCTCTACTAAAATTACAAAAATTAGCTGGGCGTGGGATTACAGTGTGCCTGTAATCCCAGCTACTCGGGAGGCTGAGGCAGGAGAATCGCTTGAACTAGGGAGACAGAGGTTGCAGTGAGCCGAGATTGCCCCACTGCACTCCAGCCTGGCAACAGAGCGAGACTCCATCTGAAAAAAAAAAAAAAAGAAAAGAAATAAAGAGTTTCCTTTTCCCCACATCCTGGCCAGCATGTTATTTTTTGACTTTTAAACAAGAGACATGATAATAGGTAAGATGATATTTCACTGTATTTAAACATTTTTTTAAATGGACCTGTTTTGATACAGAACTTACTGTGGTTTTGATGCATTTTTCCGGATGATTAGTGATGCTGAGCATTTTTTTTCTATACCATTGGCCATTTATTTATATGTCTTCTTATGAGAAATGTCTATTTACGTTTCTTGCCCACTTTTTAATGGGATTATTCATTTTTTTGCTATTGAATTGTTCAAGTTCCTTGTATATTCTGGATATTAGCCCCTTGTTGGATGAATAGTTTGCAACTATTTTTTCCCATTCAACAGGTGGTCTGTTCATCCTGTTGTTTCCTTTGCTGTGCAAAAGCTTTTTAGTTTTACTAAGTTCCATTTGTCTATTTTTGTTTTTGTTGCCTGAGAAATCTGATGTTTTAAAAGCCTATCTTCTACTATAATCACTCAGAACGCACTAACTCAGATAGCTCACGTGATTGAAGGACCGTTGGGTCCTTTTCTTACATAGAAGCTCTCCCCCAACAGCAATCCATAACATTCCTTTGCATTGTATTGGTAAAGTGAGCAAAATTAGGTTCCAGCTGTGACAAGTGCTAAAGGAACAAGAAAGGGACAGCCATTCCATGGCAAGTGTGTGAGCTTCACGTCTCAGAGTTGAAGTTAGCACAGGTACTCCGGTGGGCTCGCTCACTCTACCTCAAGCACTAAGGGCAAAAACCACTCTCTCGCCATTGCGTTTTCCAGCAGCCAAGAAGTTATCAAGAGCACTATGTCCATAGTTGCATGAACATCTTTCATTAAAAAAACTAGAATAAAGTTAAATTTTTAAATATACTTCCAGATACTGAAAATTATGTTTGTAAGTATAAGAGAAAATAAGTGAAACTACTTATGTTAGCTGGGTGCGGTGGCCCACGCCTGTAATCCCAGCACTCTGGGAGGCTGAGGTGGGTGGATCACTTGAGGTCAGGAGTTTGAGACCAGCCTGGCCAACATGGTGAAACCCCGTCTCTACTAAAATACAAAAAAAATCAGTCGGGTGTGCTGGCATGCACCTGTATCCCAGCTACTCAGGAGGCCGAGGCAGGAAAATTGCTTGAACCTGGGAGGTGGAGGTTGCAGTGAGCTGAGATCACACCATTGCACTCCAGCCTAGGTGACAGAGCGAGATTCCATCTCAAACAACAACAACAAAACCCACAAAAATTAGCCAGGCACGGTGGCACACACCTGTAATCCCAGCTACCTGGGAGGCTAAGGTGACAGAATCATTTGAACCTGTGAGGTGAAGGTTGCAGTGAGCTGAGATGATGCTATTGTACTCCAGGCTGGGTGACAAAGTGACACCCTGTCTCAAAAAAAAAAAAAAAAAGAAGAAAGAAACTACTTATGCCATGTTAAGTGAAAAGAGTAAGATACAAAATTGCATATATAGGACAGATCACAACTATTCATACCTAAGAACTATTTAAAAATGTATCTAAAAATTAAAAAATACCAGCACAAGAAAGATTTATGACTAGAGAAAAACTGAATAGAAAGAGAACTATAGAAGGAATGAGTTTTTTCTTTTTCTTGTGTTTTCCATATTTTCTATTATAAATATATATACCAATGGAAAATATATAACAAACATAATGTTAAAGTAAGAAGTTAATGTACTAGCAACTGATGGATAAAAGAATTAGAGCTGATCAAGATTACAGAGAATTCAAGACAACTGTCTGTTAGAAACCTTGTCACATTGCCTCTTTCCACACTTAGAAAATTTTGTGGGCATTCCATACGCAGAAATCCCAGAAATAACTTTTGTTTGGCTGTGGCAGCACTGTGAACTTTTAAAAATCAGATTTACTAATGTTCTGCTTCTTGTAACAGTGAAGTGGCCCTGGGGATAATCATAATAGATTTTTGGAAGATCATTTACATATGGGGTAGGCCCTACAATCCACTCTGGTCCCCCAAGTCTTGCCTCTCCACGAGCTTCTCAGGGCCAACACAGTTGGCTGCTAGGCAACAACCATCCATCTCTCAGCTCCCTTGTAACCTAACCCGGCTTCTGCTTAGATATAGCCAGGCAGTGTGCCCAGCCCCAGGTGGACCTCGGGTGGGCTGAACCCATCATGGTGATCCTGACTTCTATGTCATAGCCATGTGACCCAATTCTCAGCCAACAAAATACTATTAGCAGTCGGCTCAGCTACTGGGACAGTCATTTACACCTCCCATGAGAAAGTACACAGCCCTGTGGTCCAGATTAGGGAGGGGATTCTGCTCCCAGAGCCACCATTCCTGTGTATGGCCCCATGTCCTGACTCTCCAAGATGGCCTGCAAGTACTCCAGTGTGGGAGGAAGGGACAAGGAAAGACGTAAAAGCAGTAGTCTCTTAAGAAAGGGACTCTCAATGAAGGTCTCTGGATGGACACACTTCAGTTGACTTCCCTTTTGCCAGTACTTAGTCACCTGGTCACATTTAGTTGCAAGGGAGCTAGGGAATGAACTCTTTATTATAGGAGTCCTATATGCTCAGATAAAATTTGATTACAATGGGAAGAGGAGAATAAACTTGGGGGCACAGTTAGCAGACATTGCTGCAAAAACAAAATGAGTAGTCTGCTGGGAGGCTGATGGGAAATACTATCCATAATGAAAAGAGAATCCTTTGCACACCCAGCACCAGATATTGGTCTCTAACACCATTCTGCAACAAAAGAAACCAAGGTCCTTTGGAAAAATGGCTGATTTTAGACTGGGACAGGAAATATTCAAGATGATCTTGGAGTGCTGGCAGTGCCAGAAAGCAAAGAAGTGCTGAAAAGTAAAAAAACAAATGAACAAACAAACAAAAACACACACACAAAAAAAACATAATGAGGTGTATCGAAGGGACACAGGAGACAAATCAAAGTGCTCCCAATGGCCAAACCCAGAATAATTAGAGCAACAAAATAAGTAATGTTAGTATTAGATTATAACCCAGAGCATAAAATATATACCCACAAGTCTATATTAATATAAATAAAAGATTACATAATAAGTAAACAGGGGAGAAGAGACAAATCTCACATGCAGAAGAATTTCTAGTAATTTGTGCAGATACTTTGAACTCAACGAGGTGGAGCATAGCTCCCCACTCCTTAGGTGTGGGCTGGGCATAGTGACTTCCTTGCAAAGAGTATAGTATGGAAAGAGGTGAATAGAGAGTAGCTTTACGGGGAAGAAACCTGACAAACACTATGTCAGGCAGGTGATCAAGCTCAACACCAAGTCATAAATCATACTGACAGTACATACCTGCTATGGTTTGAATATGTCCCCCAAAGGTCATGTTTTGGAAAGTTGATCCCCAATGCAACAGTGTTAGGAGGTGGGACCTTTAAGAGGTATTGAAGTTATGATTAAGTTATGAGGGCAGAGCCCTCATGAATGGATTAATGTCATTATCTAGGGAATGGGTACCTTATAACAGGATGAGTTTGACTCTTCTTCCTCTTTCTCTCATCTTTTCTTTGCCCTTCCCCCCCAGGATGACACAGCAAGAAGGTTCTTGCCAGACGTCAGTCCCTCGATCTTGGACTTCCCAGGCTTCAGAACTGTGAGAAATAAATTTCTGTTCATTACACATTACCCAGTCTGTGGTATTTTGTCATAGTGGCACAAAATGGACTAAGACAATGGACTCCCTTTGATAGGATGTGATAAAGATGGCACTTTACTTCAGTGGTCTCCTTCCCCAGAACTCATAACCTCAGTGTCATCATAAGAAAAACATTAGATGATTCACAATTGAAGACTATTCTACCAAACACCTAACCAGTACTCCTCAGCACTGTTAAGGCCATCAAAAACAAGGGGAACTCACAGCCAAGAGAAGCCTAAGGAGACATGATGACTAAGCATAGTGTGGTCTCCTGGATGAGATCCTGGAACAGAAAAAGGGCATTAGGAGAAAACTGAGGACATCTAAATAAAGTATGGACTTCAGTTAATGATAATGCATCAATATTGGTTCACTAGTTATGACAAATGTACTATACTAATACAAGTTCACAATAAGCGGTGTATTAGTCTGTTCTCACACTGCTATGAAGAACTACCTGAGACTGCGTAATTTATGAAGAAAAGAGGTTTAATTGACTCACAGTTACACAGGCTGTACAGAAAGCAAGGCTGGGAGGCCTCAGGAAACTTAAATCATGGTAGAAAGTAAAGGGGAAGCAGGCACATCTTACCGTGGCAGAGTAGGAGAGAGAAACATCAAAGGGGGAAGGGCTACACACTTTTAAACAACCAGATCTTGTGAGAATTCACTTGCTATCACAAGAAGAGCAAGGGGGAAATCCACCCCATGAGGCAATCACCTCCACCAAGGCCCCTCCTCCAACACTGGGAATTACAATTTGACATGAGATTTGGGTGATGGTACAAAGCCAAACCATATCAATAGGAGAATATGAACGCTGAATGTGGGTATAGAAGTCTCTGTACTATCGTCTCACTTTTTCTTTAAATCTAAAACTGTTCTTGTAAACAAAAAATAAAATTCTAAGGCCCCCCAACCACCTGAATAGATCCTTCCTCTTGGCCAAGGGCACTCCAATGTTAACCTGAAAAAACTACTTCAGGCTGTGATGGAAAGGGGTAGCCGGACATGCCTCATTCTACCCTCTTCCCTTTTGGAATTCCTGATAGAACAGACTCTTTAAGTCCGATAAGAAACACATACGATCTATTCTTTCTGAAGCCTGCTATCGGGAGGCTTCATCCACATGACAAAACCTCAGTCTCCACAACCCCTTACCATAACCCAGACATTATCTTCTATTGATAGTAACTCTTTCAACCAATTGCCAATCAGAAAATCTTTGAATCCATCTATGACTTGGAAGTCCCCACTTCCAGTTGTCCTGACTTTCTGAACCAATGTACACCTTACATGTATTGCTTGGTGCTTTATGTCTCCCTAAAATGTATAAAACCAAGCTGTAATCTGGCTGTCTTGGGCACATGTTCTCAGGATCTCCTGAGGGCTGTATCACAGGCCATGGTCACTCATACTTGGCTCAGAACAAATCTCTTCAATTACAGAGTTTGACTCTTTCGTCAACATTCTAAAACAAAAAATTTATTTTAAAAAAGAGTAAGGGAAAGAAACAGAGGGACGGTTCCCCCTTCTTTTCTGTGTACGAAGTCATGATGTTTGGAGCTGAGATGGCCATCTTTTGATTCTCAATATGCCTGTTCACAGCCCTAACCAACCTTGGACCCCTCTACTGGATTTTTGTTATGTGATAAAATTAATCTCACGGTTTAAGCTGTTTTGGGCCAGGTGTCTTGTTCATTGCAGTTGAATGAATCCCAACGAACAGTACTCATATCATTTTCATGGCCATAGCTGTGGTTCAGACCTTTAGACCTTTATCTCCATTCCTAGCAGTTTGGCCCGCTCTACTATCCTTCCTTCCCAATCTCCTGGCAGCTCTCTTCCTTCTCTAGCTTCACCCCTGCCTGCATTTCTCCCAAAACCCAGTGGCCAGCAACTCTTGCCATTCCTAGGCAGGGCATGTTCCCTCATAATTCCAAGCTTGGACACACAGGATTCCCTCTGCCCGGAATGCAGACTCCTCCATCCTTATTTCTTCCAGCAATTAACTACCCCCATTCAAGTTTCAGTTGCCAGCCATGGCACGATATGTGGCCAGCAAGATTCTAAGATGTCCCTGCAGATCCGTGACGGCTGGTGTACATAGCCTGCATAACCCTCAGTACTGTGAATATAACGAATTATACACCTATGATCAGGCTATGTTATGTGACAATGTTGATGTTAAGAACAGATTGTCAGTGTGCCTGATCTAATCACATGCACTCTTTCAAAGCTGGGCACGGTGGCTCACGCCTGTAATCCCAGCACTTTGGGAGGCCAAGGTGGGTGGATCACGAGGTCAGGGGTTCGAGACCAGCCTGACCGACATGGTGAAAACTCATCTCTACTAAAAATACAAAACTTAGCCGGCGTGGTGGCGCACGCCTGTAATCCCAGCTACTCAGGAGGCTGAGGCAGGAGAATTTCTTGAACCTGGGAGATGGAGATTGCAGTGAGCCGAGATTGCACCACTGCACTCCAGCCTGGGCGACAGAGTGAGACCCTATCTCAAAAAAATAAAATAAATAAAATAAAATAAAAATAAAAGCAGAGAGTTTTCTCTGGCTGGGAGCAAAAGAGGAAGTTAGACAGAGATCTGATGTAGGAGGATGTTTGGCACGCAAGAAGGTCTCTGTCGCTGGCTTTCAGGATGGAAGGGGTCATGTGGAAGGATGGAAGGAATGCAGGTGACCTCCGGAACTGTAGGCAGGCTCAGGAAATGGGGATGTCAATCCTACAACCACAGAAAACTGAATTGTGCCTAAAAGAAGAACGAGCTTGGAAGATCTTTGCAAGAAGTCAGCCCAGCTGATACTTTGATTTCAGCCTTGCAATATACCCTGAGTAGAGAACTCAACCTTGCCCCTGTGCAAACTTCTGATCCATATAACTGGGAGCTAATAAACTGACACTGTTTTAAGTCACTAAGTCTGTGGCGGTTTGTTGTTATGCAGCAACAGGAAAGGAACACGCCACATCTCCTCTCTGAAGTCATCTCTCACTTCCCCAGGCACACCTGTGACATCTTCCTCTTGCCGCTGTGGCACCTGATACACATGCCTCCCATGATGCAGGTCACAGTGTGTTATCATTTTCCATTTACCTGTCTGCCTTCCTCACAGGATTCTGAGTTCCTGGGCAGTGGGGACTATATAATTTTATCACTGTAATCTCAGGTACAGAGTAGGAAGGTGAAAAAATATTCATTGAATGATGGTTTCATCAAGAAAAAAATCCCAAGATCACTAATTTGTAATCATATATACTAAAACAACCAAAGATGTCAGAGATTTAACATCTAAGCAAGAGGAAAAGTCACCAATATAAAAGAGAATGGCAAAAAAGAAAGAATAGCTATTATAACTATAAGCATGGGATGTTTCTGAGGAACCCAGAGGTGAATGAAGTCCCCAGGGGTGGTAAATGAGGGAAGGAAGTGGAGAAATGAGCAGAACTATGAGGGGAAAAAATTTATCTCTGGATTACTTAGTAAACAAACACGTTTTTATTGAATGCTTGGTTTGTGGTGACCCTATAACTGTGGCGAACAATATCGATGTTTCAGATTTAAATACTATCCTCAGGCATTCTGAGACCCTCCTTTCTGTGGCATACGGATCTTTGAATGTTAGATTCAAGAAGGTCTTAGATTTATGCATAAAAGTCCTCCATTTTTTAAACAAATAGAAGCAAACTGATTTTCCACTGAGCTCTGTGTTTCTGAGGTGCACATCCTTGTTCCTGTGCCTTTGACACCTCTGTTAATGAATCTGTAATAAAGATTCCTGGAGGAAACCCAGAGATAGTTTGACACTGCACAACAGTTTCTCCCTCAGTCTCTGCCGCACAAGTGCCAGCTCCCTTGACCATCAACCCAAGTTGGGATAGCTCCTTACCTCTGGGTCGGTGAGTCCCATTCCCATCTCTCTCATCTCAAATGCTGCAGTGGAAACATGGTCTGGAATAGGCATGAAAGGGGTGGATCCAGCATGTACCAAGAAACCAAGTAGAAGCTAAACAGGGAGGAACGGTACAGGAAGTTGTAAGGGGTATTTAAGGAAGGGAGAAGAGAGGGGGCGGAAAGATGCTTTCTGGATCAAAGTAGGGTGAAAACCTCGGGATGCCGGTTAGGCACACCACGGAGGGCCTCACCGCTAGTCTGATTAATTTGCATTTTATCCTGTGGGCGATGAGGAGCGAAGGAAAGGGTTTTAGACTCTAGCTTTGGGGGTGGAGTGTCAACTCATGTCTCTGGGCTGAAGTTTCCACATCTGTTAAGCTGGAGAAGTAATACTTGCTGGGCCAACCAATGTACACAACCATTGTTACAACCAAGTATCGATGGTGATAAAAAACTAAACAGAAAACACAAATAACACTTAGCCGGTCTCCAAGGGGGTGGTTTAAGGTTAGGTGGCAAGCCTGAAGTAATTTCTAAAGTCCCTTGGGAATAAAATTCTGAAACTTGAGCCATAAATTAAGAGGCAGATGGCTTTTCTCTTTGCAAACGACCTGCCACAGACTCAGTCCGTCACTGCCTCTGCTAGCTCTGCTACCCTTGGGCCCCGTCCGCAACCCACGTGGGAGACCTTTCACGGGATCTACTCGGATGTCTGGGATCGAGACAACCCAGGTGCGTACGCGCCGCGCACACGGAACAGCGCAGGCTGCCCGAGGCCATGGGGCGGGGCCGAGGCCGGGGCGGAGCCAGGACTGGGAATCCCCGCGCCGTCAGGCCGGTGGGGGCCGGGCGTGTGTGTGGGCGTGGCGGGCCTCTGCGCAGGCGCCGACCCACTCCCCAGAGCCGGGCGCGCGCCCGCGACGGGTTCCGCTACCGGCGGGCGGAGGGGTGCGCGCGCACGAGCGAGCGGCCGTGACGTGCGCCGCGCTACGCCCGACGTC